AACAAAAAAACAAATGTATGGTTCAATATAAAAACGTACATGCAAAGTAAAACATACCATTAAAATACAACGATAACATGAAAACGAAACAACTCCTAAATACAAAACACATGTAAAAAATTCTAAGATAATACAATGTTCAAAAATGAATCACACCTAGCACACACTTCATCGGTAGATGAATAAAAAAACACGAGGGACTTAACTCTCACCCAACACTCAAGCTAACAACAAGTTAAATTATGCACTCATCAAGAAAAAACTCATATTGAACAGTATAAAAGCAAAAATAGCTAGGGCTTTAAGGGTTGTAATGTGGCTTGGGTAACAAACAATTGTTTCTCTCAAGGTAAAAGAAACAAAAACTTGCCTAATCAAATGAGTGATCATTTCTCACAATCTTAAGCACTCACAAATTCCAATCACCTTTTCCTCTTTTCCAAATTGTTACACCATTCTACACAACTTATTAGCATAACAATCCTTCTATAATTTTTCTTTTATTTTTTTTCTTTCAATTCTTTCCCCTTTGTTTTTCTTTTTCTTTTTCATTTTTTTCTTTTTCTCAACCTCTTAACAACCAACATCTTCTCCCCAACATGAATACAACCACACATAGTGACATGAATACTCCCAAACTTATTAGTCAAGGGCAACAACTCAAATAACAAGTCATGGTTATAGTTCAAGAAAAAGTATTAGAATCCATACAAAAATGAACTTAACACCAACATGGATTCTAACAAAGGCTTAAAGGGGGTAAGCAAACTCTCACTCACTCACAAGGTAGATTGGCTATTTGGTCAAGTGGATATGCTCAAAATCGAACAAAATGCCTTGATCATTTTAGTGTTATCATACAAATCAACACAAATACAAGATTAAACATAATAAAACCGAGTTAAACATTTTGTTGAAGCGGTAAAGCAACAAGCAAAAATATTATTTTCGGAAGAATTTCCTCTGGGATTTATCGTCTCCACAGGGATCAGTGTGAGGGAAAGAATGTCGTTCGACAATCCCCATGTCTCTAAGCTTGGGTTTGAATGGTTTGGGATAAAATTCAAAAGAAAAAAAACACAAAACAAGAAAATAAGTACATTCTTAAGAAATGAGAAAAATCGTCAGGAGTTGTATTTCTTTCTACCCATCATGTACTAAAAAATATATGGATCAAATGCATGCAACCTAATTCGCTCGTCAATATCATCATGTATCACTGACGACAGAGATTATCTCTAACGCAAAGTCGAGAGATCAACCGTATCGTCTCATTGTTGATCTCTCACACAACTCGACAATAAGGAGCATTAAGAATCGATACCCACGTGAATATTAGTCCTAAATCTATCTCTAGCATTTAGAATTTAATAGATTTTCATCTTAGATCGAGTTCGAACAGTATATGTCTATAGCAATCCAAACCCATTAAGTAAAAAAATCAAGATAACCATCAATAAAGAGTTGTTAAAGATGATTTTATACAAAGATCTATAAATATACATACAATCAAGATAAACTTACATACAAAACCCCAACAAATGAAAAATACATAGAGAGGAAGGAAGAAGAATACAAATCTCACGGTCTGTCAACTCCGATTGAAGTGGATTCGACTCCGGATCGTCAAGATGCACCCTCCAATGTTGTTTCTAAGCTAAATCTACTCAAGAATGTGTTTGATGAAGTTGGGGTAAAAAGTTCCCAAACAACGTAACCTAAAAAATGCTGAAAAATCACTTAAATAGACAAAAATGGGTCCCAGTATTCGCCTAGCAAAATTATGCATCTTTCGCTACTGCCAAAACAATGTTTTTCACGCGTTTTAGAACCTTCTGTTTGCCTAGCGAACATGGCAGCAAACCAATACTTGTTTCGACCATAACTTTTGAACCGTAACTCCCTTTTACGCGCGGTCAGAAGCGTTGGAAATCTTATTCAATGCTCTATAAGACAATGACAAAATATCATTGCTTATATACCTACAAAAAAATAGAAAAAATCAATTAAACTCAATGAAATTTACGCGACACATAATATATACACTATAATGTAAACTATACAACATATGTACAAAAAATTAAGGTTTATTGGTTGAATTAAGCCAATAAGTCCCAATTATTTACACTCAAAATCAGTACATTTTAGCACCTATCAGAAACCAAATTGAATTACAACATTCAGATCATTCCATGTTTAAGTTCTATCACTCTTCTTGGTTGAATAAAACATTAAACCTATCACTAATTAAAAGCACCTAAAATAAATCCATTGATCCACTTAAAGATAGATTTGAACTAATGAAGATTTATCAAACCTCATCAACACCCAAAGCCCATGAAATTTAAAGAGAAGTTTGATCAACAAACATCAAAATTCAAGGCAAAACTAAAGGAAATGGAAGAAGGAAGAAAAGGAACCAAAACAGTCCCAAAACAAGCCAAAAAACACAATTCTGACTCTAGTTAATCGATTAACCCTGGCAGGATAGCAAAAAGATTTATAAAAAAAATCAGCACTCGTGATTCAATCATTTCTTCAAACATCTCATGATCATGAATGCAATTGAGCTTGGAAATTCAAGTAAAACAACAACAAACAACACCAATAAAAACACAATTTGCAAGATCTAAAGATCAAACAACAAGAATCAACCATAGATCACATTGTAGAAGATGGATCAAACACAACAATGGTGGAACAAGGGTTTACCACTTCAAAATCTAAAAATGCTTCAAATCAACTTCAAGAACCACACTTCAAAGCCTTGATCTACAAAATTTGATGTTGAAGAAGTGTTTTGATGAATGTTTTATCTCAAAGGTTAGTAAGTTTCAATGAAAAGCTTACTATTTTTTAATGGAAGAAAGAGTTTTGGTGAATTTGGTGGTTGAAGGAAATTGAGAGAATGGAGAGGAATTTTGACAAGGTGAATTTGACTTTCTAAAGCATGAAGAATGAATGAAATGAGACGTCTATTTATAGAATTTAGGCTTGAAAATTTTGGTGGTTTGAAATTTGATCTAGGCTTGGAAATTGAGTTTGGAGGCAAAATCAAGATCAAGTGGTGATTAATGAGGGTGTATGATGGGAATTAATTATGATGAGGTGGAGAATTTAAAATGAGGTGATCTAGAATATTCTCATGATGAAACAAGTGAATTTTGGTGCCAAAATGCTGCAGAATTTGAATTTGCCTCATTTTTCACAAAAACACAATGGCTAATCGATTAACACAGTAAAAAATTAAAAAAAAAAAAAAGCTTTTTGTTGTGTTGTCTTGGCTCTACCTCGATTCTTTTAACTTGTCAAATAAGACATGGAAATAAACACATGAACCTTATTGTCTCTTGAGAAATAAACAATTAAATCTTGAAAAATTCTTGATCATATAATTTTGAATTGTTTGCAAATCAACTTTAAAATTTTCAGATGAATTTCATTCGATCTGAGAAACTGTTGATTGGTGTTCTTGATCCAAACTTTTTCTTGAAAAAAGAGTTAGTAAAGGAAAAAACAAACATATTTTTGGTATTTTGATTAGGGTTAATAAACATGAGCAATCAAATAAAAGGAAACAAAGAAGAAAACACAGGTGCTTGGTGATCTTGCTTATGATGCAGGATGCAAATGATGTGTGAGATTTTAAGGGTAAAAATTAGGGTATTACAACGAAAAGCTAAGTTCGTTAACTAAATAAGCTAAACTTGAACTATACATAGTTCGATTCGTTAGGTTCACGAGTCAACTAGATTATATTATCTTTAAGAGTATGTTTAAAAATTTATTCCAAATCTTAGTCTTATATTTTTTTTTTAATCTAACGGTGGAAAATAGAGTGGTATCCGATATGGAAGTAGATGTTCATGTCATTCCAATATATATGGTGCCTTTAGAGTCAACCTTTAACATTCGAGGGAGAGTTATTAATTCATTTTAAAAGTTGTGTAGTTTTTGAATTAGTGAATTTGTGAGATAAAATTAAATTTTAATCTGATAATTTTTTTTTAATATTTTCTTTTTAAAAAATATTAATTTAAAATGTCAAATATGTAAAAAATATATATACTTAAAAAAGACTTTTAAGTCCGTGAAGCAAGATATCTGAACCTAACAAAATGAGTCTAACGAGCTGAACCAAGTTGTTCGTGAACTTATAACAAGTTGAGTTTGAGCTTAAAAAAAATTCGTATTGAACTCGAACCGAAATTTGAACTTAACCAATTTTTAATGAGTCAAGCTGAACTAAGGTGAGTTCGACTCAATTCGATTTATTTCTAATCTTATTTAAAAAAAAATATTGTGAAAAACTAAAAATAAAATTTAAAATATTTAAAAAGATCACAAGATATATTTAACACTAAAATTTAATATGAAAGACGACTAATACATACCCGTAATTTAAAGAATTATAAGAGCATAATGCAACATAAAAGACAAAATTTAAAGAACTAATAAAAAAACAAAACTTGGTTTGATAAAAACCATTGATACTTTCCCTCGATAAAATTGTTATATAAAGAATGAAATAGTACTAGTAATATGACTCTATCTCTTTACTCTTCCACAAAAGCTAAGGGTTGCCATTATTCGCTTCATAGAGTAAAAAAGATGGAAGTTAGATGAAATTCCCAAAAAATCCAAGTAGTTACAATGAATTGACATACCTGAAAGGGGTATGTTAAGAACAGCACACCGTTCAGCGTGTTTCACGTTTAGAGACCATATGCATAAGATTCAGATACTACTACATGATATCATACCGTTATTTTTTGTTTTTAATAAAGAAGCTACTATATACTTGATAAGAATAAAATAATAACTTTAGTTCATTACACACTTTCATTCCTTCAGACAGGGTATCAAACTTTTTTGTTAAGAAATGTAAACGTCTCTTAAACTCTGATGCATTCTAGCCTATAAATAAGTTATGCAAATGCACCAACCAATCAACCCAATCCACCATTCATAAACTAAACATCTCTGAGATTTGAGTCATCATGTCCTTTTCTAACTCACCTGCTGCTGCTGCTGCAACTGGCACTTTGGTTCAACATGGTGGTGCCACTGCCACTACTAATAACAGTTTGATCCAAAAGAGTGCCACTGCTCCACATTCACACCAAAAAGCTAATAATTACTGGCCAAACCCATTTGAACTTCATGATTCTCAGATCTTGGACAAAGTCTATCTCACTCATGTCACTGACGATGAGTTTTGTGATACTGATATCATTTTCGACCTTGTCTCCACTCTTGTACTTCAGGTTATTTATATGCATTCACTTTTTTTAGACGAAGTTACTAAAAACCATCAGAAATTCACACCAGGGTTTGAACTCTGGTAATAGCGTCCAACCTAGCAATATCGGCTATCTGAATTAGGATATTTGTGGACTTATACACATTCACTTTATTACTACTTAAATGTTAAATTTATGTCAATAAGCTCATATACCTTAATAAAGATAATACTAGTTTTCTGAAAAGCACAATTAACTTTTTAAATTGTTTTACAGACTAATACACAGATTCCGGTAACCGGTTTCAAACCAGATTTTCCTACACTGAAGCTCATATCTTGTCAGGTTATTAATTTCTACTTTATATCTAATCTATATAGTTGACTAATATTTAAACAAATGATTATATGTTTGCTAATATAGTTCATATAACAAACAACAGATGATAACTACACGTAGTGCTGCGCACTGCGTTCACCAAACAACACTGTGGATTCTCCAAAACCTGAGATCCTACTCTTGGAATGCAAAAGCACTCATAACTCTAGCTGCATTCACTTTGGAGTATGGAAACTATTTGCACCTTACTAGGGTCACAGCAACAGACCCAATTGGAAACTCGTTGAGACAACTGAATCAAATTCAAACCAGAAAAATCTCAACTGATATAACTGAATTGGTCTCATTCATAGTGCATAAGTTGCTGCACCTAAAAGAGTGGGCAACATGGTCTGCAGAAGGCTATGATCCAGAGGATGTTCCTGCTTTGACTGAAGCCTTGCAAGAGATTCCTGTCTTTGTTTATTGGACTATTGCTTCCATTGTTGCTTCTACTGGCAACCTTGTCGGTGTCTCGTAAGTTCTTATGGTTTTAGATTGCAATTGCGGTGGCAGTTACTAACTATTGTGCGGTTCAATTTCATATGTAATATTATCATCTAACGCTATTACTTATCTTTATTTTTTAGGGACTATAAATTATCAGAATATAGAGAGAGGCTTTCTGGCATTGTTCAGAAATTGGTTGTGCATTTGGACAACTGCAAGCTGCAAATAAGTTAGTAAACTTTTAGCTTTTTCATTTTTCTTAACCCAATGAGATTTGGACTCAACTATGCTATAATAAGAGGTTATTTCCTTTCGTTGCAGGCTACATAGACGATTTATTTAACCGCAGGAAGATCTTTGATAAGCCCAAAGATATTGTTGATTGTTTGAAAGCCCTGATCCACCGTAACGGAACTGATAGTCCTCAGATCCATGAAGGCGCCATCTATGTTAAAACGGTTAGTTTCTAAAAATCAAGAGATGGAGTTTAAATTTTCTTAAAGACCGTTGTAGAATAATAATTTGTACTACTTCAGATAAATCGAAAGAGATTTAATGACTGATTGTTCATTTATGTTCCAAATAGGGTCTTGAAATTTTTAGGAACAAACATGTGTTGGTGTTCATTTCGAGTCTTGATAGCATTGACGATGAGATTTCACTTTTGAATTCAATCTATGAAAGACTGCAAGAAAACTCAAAAGAATCAATAAAAGGTTTCAAGAAAGAAGACTTCAAGATTTTGTGGATCCCTATTGTGAACAATTGGGACGAAATCCGCAAGGAACGTTTCAGAGCATTGAAGAGTGGAATCAAATGGTATGCAGTGGAGTACTTCTATGAGTTACCAGGCCACAGGATAGTAACAGATCCAGAAAGAATAGGGTACATTGGTAATCCTATTATCCCAGTGTTCAACCCTCAAGGATACATAACAAACATAGATGCTATGGACTTGATTTTCCAATGGGGGATAGATGCATTCCCATTTAGGAAAAGTGATGGTATTGACCTTACTTTTAAGTGGAAATGGCTTTGGGATGTAATCAAAAAAGCAACTCCTGGACTGCAGGTAATAATTTTAATATCTCTCAGTAGTTAAGTTCAATTAAGTCGATTCAAATCCGTTGATACTTATGAAATTGTCTCGCTTTATCATGTGATTATTCAGGTGAAAGGAGACAGATACATCTTTATCTATGGCGGTACCAACAACAAATGGATCCAAGATTTTACACTTGAGCTTGAAAAGATCAAAAGGCACGAGACTCTGAAACGTGCAGATGTTATAATAGAGAATTATCAATTGGGCAAAGACGATCCTAACCGCGTTCCTAGTTTCTGGATTGGTGTAGAAAGGAAGAAACAAAACAAGAAGCATCAAGAAGCACTGGACTGTGAGATTCAAGACATTGTGAAAAGCTTGTTTTGTCTGAAAAGGGATCCACAAGGATGGATTATTCTAAGCAAAGGACAAAACATTAAGCTTCTGGGTCATGGTGAACCGGCTTATCAAACATTGGCTGAGTTTCAGAATTGGAAAGATAGAGTGTTGGAGAAGGAAGGGTTTGATATTGCATTCAAAGAGTATTATGAGATGAAAGCTAAAGAGCTATCTGGTCGTGAACCATGTGAAGTTGTTAATGTTGATACTTACAGCTCAAATGTTATAGCCACTATAGCATGCCCAAATCCTATGTGTGGACGTGTCATGGAGGTTTCATCTGTTCATTACAAGTGCTGCCATCGTGATGAACCAAATAATTTTGGTAATTGATTCTAGTTGATTGATGCATGGGACAAGTGATTGTTTTGAGTTAGTTTGCTGTTGTTGTGTTTTTTCAATTTCTGTTTTGTTTTTGTTTGATGACAGCATGTGTCTGTCTAAACTAAAAATGTTGTGTGTGATGATATGTAGTAACCCTTTAAATGGGTGAGAATAATAGTGGCTTCAGTATGTATCATGTTAGATATTGAAGTTCATTAATGAATAAAATTAATGTGTGTTTGCAAATGTTAAAAAGAGTCTTCATTTCTCCATCTGTTATGTTGTTCTTAGTTGTTACTATTGTAGCACTAGGTTAGGGTAGTGTTAAAAAGTGCAACCAACATAAAAGATTAAAAAAACAAAAGTAAAAAATAATAAACACGATGTAATTCAATTAATAATGTCTATTTCTGCGACATAATTCAATTAATAGTATCTATAGTTCTGTTTTATTTCAATAATAAAATTAGAGTTATATTGTTATAAGCAACACATATAATCTTTTTATGTGTCTACATATATATGAGTTATACTCAACAATTTATACGTTGGCGAATTTCAAACACCTTTGAAGACTTCCTGCAAGATGATCGCATTCTAATAATTGAGGAGGTACACCTCCTATTTAACATTGAGAAACATGTAACAAGTCTAAATAATACTTGAACTTGTCACTGATGACTGGCTTCGTCAATTTACCAACGGTCAAAATGTAACTAACTCTCTGATCTTGTAAAACCTCACACCAATATAGTTGGTCCTAGCATGATACACCTGATTGTTCGCTAAATAAATGACACTATGACTATCACAATGCAATTGAATTCTATCTTACTTAACACCCAATTCTCTCACCAATCATGTAAGTCATAAAGCTTCTTTGACAACTTCATCTGCTTCCATGTACTATGTTTAAGTTGTTGACATGATCACTATGGATTAAACCAATGACTTTTAACATATAGGTCCTCTTGCTAAAGTAAAGACATATTTTGTTGTAGACCTTCTATCTGTCAAAAATTCCTACTTCATCCATTTTTTCATTGTATTCCTTTTAGTTATAACAACGTAAGCATTTACATAATTGATTACAAAATATTCTATACTTGATTTTCTAGACTATTCTAGAAATAAAAATATATACAATTAAGGATGATTATATCATTCCTTATATATCTGATTTTCTAATCTATACTATGAATGAAAAATATATCTAGATTTGCAACATTTCGGATGACACGTGTATTGTCAACATAAAGTGATGTAGGGAACATTTTGGATGACACGTGTATTGTCAAAAGACCGTGAAGGCAAATTATTTTTGAACAAACAACAGACACAAGACAATACTTAGATTCAGTGGAAGATTTAGAAACTCTTGCTTGCTTTTTACTTTTCCAAGAGATCAATGAACAACCAAGAAACATGAACCAACTAGTGATAAATCGACGAGTATTAAGACACCCTGCCCAATTGAAGAGAAATTCCAACGGAAAAGAATAATTCACGATGATAAATTCCCTTGAAGCAGCGAATTACATGACAACACTCAAGTGAAGATGGCGAGGAAGATGCATGAATTGACTGATTTATTAAACATCAAAAGATATGTCAGAGCTAGTAATAGTTAAGTAATTAAGACTACCCACAACCTGCCGATACAATAAGGGATCAATTAAAAGATCATCATCATCACGATGATCCATATCAGCATAGTCTAAATCAACATATCATATAGTTAAAGGATCACCTTGTTCACTGACAAACATAATACCATGACCCATTGTCCCATTCAAGTAACTGAAAATCCACTTAATTGCTTCCTAATGGTGCTTTACCGGTTTGAACGTAAACTTACAAACTTGATTTGTATCTGGTGCCAAATTTGGTCTAGTGCAGGCTGTGACATACATTAAATATCCAACATTATTGGCATAAGGAACATTCAACATATACTCAACTTTGATATATGTCTTTGAACACTAATCTAATGAGAGTTTAAAGTAATTAGCCAATAGAGTACTCGCAACTTTTGAATTATCCATGTCAAACTTGTCTAACATCTTTTCTAACATAGTTTTTCTGAGAGACTATAATTTTCCAACACTCTTATCCTTGTGAATTTCCATAACAAGAATCTTTTGAGCAACTCCTAAATCTTATGTCAAACTCCTTTTTCAACATGATTTCTAGTTTATTTACGTCATGTAAATTATTAAAAGAAATCAAAATATCATCAACATATACTAAAGAGAAAATAAAAGAACCATCATCAATGCTCGTAACTTAAACACAATAGTCATACTCACATCTTATGTAACCAATCTAAAGCATGTGAATCCAACCGTTTTAACCATTGTCTTAGAGACTAATTTAAAACATATATAAAGACCTCTTTAATTTACAAACTAGTCTGTCATGTCCAATATCACTGAATCCCTTAAATTGCTTCGTGTGCCACAATGAAATATTCTTCAAAACTAGTAAGAAGTGCATGTTATAAAGTTATCAAACACATATCTTTCTGGTAAACGATGCACTTTTTCAAATACATGAATGTAATTCTTAGACAACTGATATCTTGCCAAAATAATATCATGAAGATGCTGTCATAACAGCACATTATGGGAAGATAATGTCATAACAGCACATTATGATATTAGCTGCACATATCTTCATTTTACTATTCTTAACCTCAGTTTATATGGAAATGATTTAATATTAGGAAACTATATTTAGAATGATTAGATATTATATTCAACCCTATACTTGTATATATATCAGATCAAGAATCAATGAAAAGCATTCCATTACAAACTAATATTTGTTATGGTATCAGAGCTGCGATACATAATAGAAACAAAGCTAGTTTGAATCATGTCGGATACCGAAGACTCTGCAGCTTCAGCAAACAGCAAAAGCATAAAGGCAGTCAACAATGACGATGGAGTTGTCATCAGAAAAACCATCTCCCCTTATGATATCACTTCCAACGACAATCCTGGAAGTTTGATAACTCATGTGCAATTAAAGGGAGAAAACTATGATGAATGGGCTCGTTCACTCAGAACAGCTCTTCGAGCACGAAAGAAATTCGGTTTTGTCGATGGAACAATTGGCAAACCCGACGACGGATCTTCAGATCTTGAAGATTGGTGGACAAACAACTCATTATTGGTGTCTTGGATCATGAATACCATTGAACCTTCGCTGCGATCGACTATGTCGCACATGGAGGTAGCTATGGATCTTTGGAACGACATCCAGGAGCGGTTTTCCATTGTGAATGGACCACGTATTCAACAGCTCAAAGCTGAACTAGTTGAATGCAAGCAGAAAGGTTTAACCATTGTGACATACTATGGCAAACTGAAAAAATTGTGGGAAGAATTAGTGAACTATGATCAGATTCTGACATGCAAGTGTGGACTGTGTACGTGCAATATCAGCAATAAAATTACAAAGAAACATGAGGAGGAGAAAGTTCACCAATTTCTCATGGGATTGGATGATACTCTCTACGGGACAGTCCGATCTAATCTTCTTGCCCAGGATCCTCTACCTACACTAAACAAAGTGTACGCAACACTGGTGCAAGAGGAACGACTGCGCACAATAACTCGTGTGACAGAAGAACGTGGTGAAGCAATGGCATTTGCAGTACACTCAAACTTCAAACACAAGGAGAAAGGAAGATTATGCAATCACTGCAATCAAACTGGGCATGATTCAGAAGGTTGTTTTCAACTCATAGGATATCCTGAATGGTGGGGAGATCGACCACGTGGACCAATGAAGGGGTCTGGACGCGGGAAACCAGAACGATCTAATAACAGAAATCGAGGAGGTACCGCTAAGGCTCACATAGCACAAGCAAAAGCGGCAACAAAAGAGATCACTACTGAAGTTCCAGAGGCTGATTTCGGCCTTACTAGTGATCAATTGCAAACACTAGCTAGCCTTTTAAACAATGTCAAACTAAGTTCAACTGAGAAGCTCAATGGTAAGTCTTCCTTCTTGCCATGGATTATTGATACAGGTGCTTCACACCATATGACTGGTCAATTGGACTGCCTAACCAATATACACAACATCTTTGAGTGCTCTATTGGACTCCCAAATGGTGAAGAGACAGTGGCCACCAAAGAAGGAAATGTGGTGCTCAATGAAAGGCTGCAACTAAAAAATGTCCTATATGTGCCTAGTTTGCAATGCAATCTTATTTCAGTGTCACAACTACTGAAAAATTCTAATTACACTGTCCTATTTACTGACAAGTCATGTCTTCTACAGGACCCCACTTTGAGGACGCCGATTGGAGCGGGTGAACAAAGAGAGGGGCTATACTATCTTAGAGGGATTGTCAAGGCGGCTGCAATGAAGACTAATAAAGAGGTTTCTTTGGATTTGTTGCATCAAAGACTAGGACATGCATCTTTGAAAGTTCTGCAAACGCTTCCAAATGTTAGCCCCAGTAGCAAAAATAATTTATATATTCAGACTTGTGACATATGCCTTAGAGCAAAACAGTCACGAGCCAATTTTCCTATTAGTGAAAATAAAGCAGCCACTCGTTTTCATTTAATTCATTGTGATTTATAGGGGCCTTATCGAAATGATACTTTTTGTGGTGCTAGATATTTTTTAACTATTGTTGACGATTTCTCGAGAGCAGTGTGGATTTATCTTCTTGTTGATAAAACTGAAGTCTCTAGATATCTTTATCAATGTTTAGCAATGGTTGAACGACAATTTAGTACACATGTAAAGATAATTCGAAGCGATAATGGAATTGAATTCACTTGTATGAAACCAACTTTTCGTGATCGTGGTATTATTCATGAAACTTCATGTGTTGGAACACCACAGCAAAATGGAAGAGTAGAACGTAAGCATAGGCACATTCTTAATGTTGCTCGTGCTTTGCGCTTTCAAGCCCAATTTCCAATTGAATTTTGGGGGGAATGTGCTCTTGCTGCATGTTACTTGATTAATCAAACTCCTACACG